AATAAAATTATGCATACATTTTGGAGGGTTGCCAAGTTACCAAACTATGAAAAAAAATGAATTTTGTCAATTGTCTTTTCTAAGCACCTACTGTAAAATATATATTCCGAAACAGGCATTTTGGCTTTTGATAAATCAAATTTGATTCATAATAACTTTCTGATTTTTATATTATTAAACATGAAACAAACATATTATCTTATTCAGAACAGGCTACAGGTATCATTAAAAAAACACTTCCTTGTATTAATGCTAGTAGCTAAGCAAAATAAAAGTGTGACTACTCTTCTTTTTAAAGCTATTCTTATAAAATACACCTCCTTTAAAATGTGTCAGTGTCCCGTTCAGTGATGATTTAAGTAGTCATAATCCATATTTGAGATGTTGGTGTTTTTTTTGTCTTATTTCTCTCCCTGCCATCAGGGTTTTAATGATTTGTGCCCTGAATAAATTAATTTACCTTCATTTTATTTTCTTATTCATAATTTTTCTTCTTCATGGCTTTTTAAGAATCAATGGAAGCAGTAACTGAGATGGGATATCTGGCTTGATTCAGAATAGGAATAATGGTAAAAAAAAAATCCAAATACTTCTCTATATAATTTTTAATTCCCTGTGGTAGCTTGGCAACTGGAATGTAATTGGTATTAAAAAAAAGTCCTGTTCATTAAGTGCAGAGTGCCATTGCCACATCATTCCGTACCAGCCTTGTAAACAGCTCTCCAAGAAAATATTTGATGTATAAACAGACTGGTAGGCTTGGCACCAGAAGCCCAAATACTCAAACTAAATGCCTTTAGGATTCCCTAAAAAGTAGACCGAAAACCCTTTCTTTCATCAGAGCATTTTATATTTCAAGAGAGAGGAAGGAATTCCTTATGATGATTTTTTTGTGCTCAATGTGATGCTGAAGAGGAATTCATATTTCATCTGATATATCACTAGGCTTTCTCATTCTCATGGATATTGCATCTGTCCAGGATGCATATGAAAAAAACAATTTTGTGCCAAAAATATAAAAAAGTAAGATTTTTTTTTGAAGTTCTCAACAGAATGAGAACTCCATCCAATGCTTGATTGATGAGCCCAGATCAACTATGAATCCAGGCACGGGATGCACCTGTCATTCAAGAAGTCTTGATGACTTTCAGAAGCTGTGCTGTTCATGTAACTGGATGTGAAATCCTTTGGCTGACAGTTATGCTCTATAGATAATGCACTTTCTTTGTGCTTCATCTTAGTTTGACACACCCGGAGGAGAAAAATATTCATGTGGGAATGCTGTTATTTTAGTTCAGCATTCAACACAATCATTCATCAGCATTTGGTAAACAAACTGGGCCTATAGGTTTTAATATTTCTTTATGTAACTGGATACTTGATTTCCTTATTGATAGGCCCCAGTTTGTGAGAGTTGGAAGAAAAGTTTTCAATTCCATCTCGAGTGTATGTTTCTCACAGGCTGTGTCTTGAGTCCTTTATTGTTCACCTTGATGACCCATGACTGCTGTGCCAAGTCTGCGACAAATCATATTGTGAAGTATTTGGACAACACGACAATGATGGAGCTTATCCAGGATGACAATGAAGATTCTTATAGGGAGGAGGTGAAGTCTTTGATGGACTGGTGCAATAAAAATAACTTGGTTTTCAATGTTAACAAAACAAAGGAGATCATTGTTGATTTTAGAAAGAAAAAAGCAGAGTCTTTATATCAAGGCTGCAACTGTAGTGGTGATCAATAACATTAAGTATCTGGGGGTGCAGATAACTAATCATCTGAACTGGTCTGTCCACACATCATCCTTAGTGAAGTGTGCAAACCAGCATCTGCATTCCTTGCATCAGAAATGGAGAGCACATCTTTTTCCTTCTGTCCTGGCCACTTTTTACAGAGGCACAATTGAGAGTGTGTTAACAAACTGCATCACTGTTTGGTTTAGTGGAAGCAGCGCATCTGATAGAAGGTCCATACAGAGAGTGGTAAGGACAGCTGAGAAAATTATAGGAAGCTCGCTTCCTATTATTCAGGATATTGCTTATAAGTGCTATGTGCTTAGAGCTCAAAGCATTGTTAGAGACCCCACACGCTCACTTCACAGTCTGTTTATGTTACTCCCCTCTGAGACAAGGTTTCGAAGTATCTGTAGCAGAACTACTACTAAATTCTGTAACAGCTTTGCTCCTTATGCCATCCATCTTGTAAACTCACAGGATTCTTCTTTTTTTGCCATGTATGTATACATTCAAACTAGACTGTGATATTTCTCTGTGTCGTGTGTATGTGGATATATGTATAATGTTTATCTTTTGAGAGCTGAATGCAATTTCATTTTAATGTATACTAATTAGTGTACATTTAAAGTGACAATAAAGATTCTATTCCATCCCATCCCATCCCATCTTATTCGACAGTCGTTATTCTTATACTGGTCTCTCTGCTATAAAGCAGCATCCTTCCTGATTTGCTTAACTTTGTTACTGCGTTAACAGCTAGGTCCCTAAGGTTACTAGATCTTGGAGATTTTAACTTACCTCATGGCAGCATATAGTCTGAGGTAGTTCAGGAGTTCATGGCTGCTGTGACAACCATGGATCCAAATAATCAAGAGCCTGTCTTGCATTGGGTGGGGCATACTAAATCTGGCTTCAGAGTAGTTGCAAAGTTATTTGGTAGTGTATGTTCAGTTATGAAAGAAAGATCAATCTTTCATTGCTTTTTTGACTTGCTGATGTTACTTCAGCCTGCAGACAGGGTATGACTCATTCTGTCCCGGGCAAGTAATGGATCTGTCTGTACCAGGCAACTAACAGCTTCAAAGAGAACATGGGGTTTTCTCAGAGGTTCTGATGGGCAATTAAGGCAAGACCTTAGTTGTAGCCTAGAATGAGATTGTTTCTATTCAGCCTCTCACTGCGATTCATGGTTGATCCCATGGTGCTCTTTGATTTTCTCAATAGCTCTGGGAGATGAAAAGCCAATGAAAATTCCTGGAGCACATTGGAGAAAGATGAAGAGTAAACATAACCAAACAAGGTTTAGAATAAGAGTCCATTTTAGACATTACACCATGGCATCTGAAGGACGCCTATAGGAATATTCTAGCTATCTGATCAATAAAGTCATTGAGATTTGCTCATAGTTCCACTGTGACTGGGCAAGTCCTGTTAAGATACTTGGGTATAGTCTTGCAAGTTTAGCTGGGATGTTTTAACCCACTACCTTTTTGTTAGACCCATGATCCTCCTGGCAAGGGTGGGGGGTGCCCTTTCTCTGTGTGTAGTTCTAGTTGATGGGGAAGAAGAGAGATTGGGTCTGAAGCCTCTAACCTGTGAGATGCTTCAAAGCTTGATGCTTTTACTCTGTATAATATCTACATGAGGCCATTGGCTGAAGTCATTTGATAGTGTGAGATGATACACTCTTTTATTGACCCTGGGCTGTCCAAGTGATGCTGTTGGATGCCAGAATGTAGAAAGGACTTGGCCATTTCACAGCCTGCGGGCCACATTTGTATATCCCTGTCTGAACTGTGGCCGGGAGGTGGGGTAGTAGCAGACTGCGGTCCTCCACAACAGTCCCAGGATTTCATGTGGCCTCTTCGGGAAAATTAATTGCCTGCCCCTGGTCTAGAGGTTATGAGGATCAAGATGGATAGGAACAGATTCAGGTTCAACCCTAGTATTTGAGCCATTGTGAATATTTAATTTTGGACAGGTTTGCATTTTCCCATTTAGGAGTGGGGTGTAATCTGAAGATTTTTCTAGTTCCTCCACAGAAGTGAGGTGATAGGTCTTGCCAAGAAATCTATTGCACAGATCCATCTTGTATGTTAGCCATGCCTGCTCCTGGACTGGAGTGGCCACCTATCAAAACAATAATTTGTACCTTAGTCACTTCACGTGTGGACTATTGCAATATGTTGTAAATGGGATTGCCCTTGAAGATCCCTTGGAAGCTACAGCTGGTCCAGAATGCATCAATGCAGATAGTAATGGGTGCGCCAGACTATGCCGGTGTAACACTATTGCTCATGAACTGCATTGGTTACCAGTTAGCTTTCAGATACAATTCAAATTGCTGGGTTACCACAAATAAAGCCCTTTATCCATAGAACTTGGCTGCCTGAGATACTATGTATCTCTGATCATTTTTTCCTGTCCTATACAATCCAACAAGAATTGTTTTGCATTACGTTCATTAAATCATATTGCCTGATGGGCTTTTTCTTGTTGCAGTATCTGCCCTCTGAAACAATATCCCCCATAGAACCATATTGGACTATCTTCAAAAAGCACTTCATCACCTGGCTTTCCCCCAGGGCTTTGATTAGTGTGTGTGATGAGCTTTTGATATAATTTTGCATATTAACCTGATGATTTCATTCTTGGCACAAAGAAACTTATCTTTCTTATATTGTTTCTTACTATTTTAAATGTTGCATGCTGTACAGAGCACTTAATGAAGTTTGGTTGCATTATAAATATGATCAATCAGTTGATCTGTCAATAAATACAAACACTAGATGAATATAATTATCCAGCCTTGATAGAAGCAGCATAATTGAATGGTAGTTATGCCCCTTGAAATATAGAAAATGTCAATTGTTATCTTTTAAGCCATAACCGCATTATATTCACTAATGATTGAATTTATTGGGCCATTGTATTAAGGTACTATGTAGATCCTTGCCTTGGCAGGTGAAACTTGGTTCTGATCATTTTTACACAAACCCACAATTATCTGTACTGAGGTAAGTAACCGAAGATTTACAGTGATTTAGCCTTGCAATTTTACAAACAGAGCATAACAGGAGGCATTTTGAAATGAAAAACATTTGAAGCAATGGCTTCATGATGATTGAGGGAATATTGTAATCAATTATTTGGAGCAAGGAAAATGGAAGGGGGATAATGATGATTCTGCCTATAAAATGCCTAATGCATGTTTTCTCTTTCTCTCTTTTCCCTTCCCCCACCTTCACCTGGATTTGCTGCAGGTGCATAGGCCCACGCCTTGAGGACTGCATTGGTTTCATGGATAGGTACTTGCTGAGCACTTGCTCCTCTTGCCACACCTCCCATGTTCCATGTGTGCGCAAAGGTGCTTGTGTGTGCATGGCCCCTGTGAATGGTGAATGATCTTTTCTGTTCTGTAATTGCCTGCAGGTGTAGAGGCCCCACTAGGCATGACTGCATTTACTATCCATGGACACGCCAGTCCATATTACTCCAGCACGCTAGGTAACATCAGCCATCCCAACTTTTTGTTCTTTTTGTTCTTTCTTTGTAAGGAGTAGGATAATCACATTACCCAGTTTAGTGAGCGGGATCCTAAATTTGTATTCATCCATTCAAGTCCTTTTGAGCTACTTTCTATACTATTGACTGAATTACTGAATTAAATAAATTTAAGCATGCACCCTTAAACATAAGATTGCAGGTCACACCTGCTTTCATGATTCTTTTTGGAATTTGAATGTTAAAAGTATACTTTTAGTGGAGGCTTAAATGGAGATTGTGTAAGGCAGGCTGGGGTCCTTAAGATATTCCATAGCCTGTATTCAAACTACACTACTGGTATGGGAGGAGGGTGGGACAAAACTTGTTGCAACACTACCAGTATATATATAAATATTCCTCATGAGAACCAGCCTAGCGTAGTGGTTAAGGATCAGACCTGAAACCAGGAGACAGTAAGTTCTGGTTTTGGCTTAGGCACAAAGCCAGCTAGGTGATCTTGGGCCAGTCACTCTTTTTCAGCCCTAGGATGCAGGCAAAACCAAACCACTTCTGAAATCTTGCCAAGACAACTACAAGGACTTGTCCAGGAAGTTTCCAAGAGTTGAGTTTGAAAAATAGAATGGATCTTTTCTGGTTATATGTCCCAAACTAATCAAACTGGTTAATGTGATTTTCTGCCTCAAATATTCTGACTAACCTTTCATCCACTGACTCTTCTTTTTCTTTAGATCAACATCATCTTGTAAAATGTAGTTCTTTTTATTACTTGTATTTAGATATAATAGTTGTTTCTGAAAATATTGAAGGAATTGTCTTAATTATCTGATAGTTCTTGAGAGGTATTTATTTATTTATTTATTTGTTTATTTTTATACTCACCTATCTTAACAAGTGATTCTGGGTGGTGTATATGATAAAACACACACACACACACAACTGTTGCCATGGATGTTAATTCAGGCAAGAAATGGAGTCCTTAACAATACTCAGGGTCTCAGATCTGGGCACATCATCGTCACAATCTTACAAAAAGCAATCAGCGTTGAAGCTATCCTGATTTCGGGAGGAAAAATGTTTCAGAGGGGAGGTATATGACAGAGAAGCAGAGGTAAGATTCAGCAGGCTCTGACCAGTTCTGGAGAACTGGTAGCTATTATATTCTTTGTAAGAATGAGCTGAGGCAGGCATTGAAGAATGAAACAATGTTTATTGTAACAAAGAAACAGGTTACCCTAGTCTGCCCATATGTTGCTGAATCAGCCAGCTGACAGGTAACAGCTGATGCTGTCTGACAGCTCCCTTTTATAGTTCACTGTCAGGCTGCTCAGCCAATCAGAACAAGCAAAACTCCCGCTCAAAATGCGGACCAACAAATAGAACTTCTGTAGAACACAATAGTAGCAGAAATTTTGAGTAGTTCAGAGAGCGGCCAAATACCACCTCTGACTGGAGATTTTACAGTGTCCTTCCCATGCCATGCCCACCAAGCCACACCCACAGAATTGGTAGTAAAAAAAATTAAATCCCACCACTGAAGAGAAGGCATTCACCTGGTCTCCACCAGCTGACATGCCTTGGCTGACAGGAACTCTAAGATGCCTAATCTGCTGAACCAAATTAGTATTGTCTCATATTACAGTGTACAATTTTTATTAAAAATACAAATGTACTTCTATGACACATTTTGATCCTGAGGCTAGATTGTATATTAACAAAATAAGTTCAGATCAGCAGAAAATTGTATATAGATGGGCATTGTTAAAATACATTTATTTTAGCCCAATAACTAACTGTTCCTATCCCTACCCAGGAACTTGGTTAATACAGTATATTGCCAAAGGCTAGGTAAAAGATTATTTGACCCCGGAAGAGAAACCAACACATTTCAGTTCTAGGATATTGTTCTTCTCAATGGAACAAATACATTGCAGATATGGGCAAAGGAATATGTCCTACTGAAGTCATGATGGCTTCCTTCTGAGCATAGAATCAAGCTAGGAGCTTACTAAAGTGAGCAAAAAGTTGATGTTTATGAATGGGAATTAGATCAGTATACTTATGTGATAAGATTCCCCACTGCTGTCCAATATATACAGTAGATATCGCTTGAAGGCACAGAAGAACTGTACACTGATCCATGCTAACATATCGATTTGGAATAGAAGTAGAATAAGTATAGGAATAATCTCCTATTAGCTATCAATAGTAAGGAGCCAGATGTGTCCCAGTTCTTGCCAGTAAAGAATTCCCTCTTACAGAACAACTGGCAAAAAATGGACTTATCAGCTCTTAAAACCAGCATTGGAAGCACATACCAAGAGAAAAGAAGAGAGGAACAGAGACTATGCCAGAATTAGTTGGTAATCTTTGGTAGGTTGGCAGATTGCTTCTAGTTTGCTTATTGTTGTATTCCCCCTTACTAGCTGTTCCAAGCTTTTGCCATGCACTTATTATATCATTTTTTAAATGACCATTTTAACTGTACTGGGAATTAGCTTTATTATCACTTATAGTTTGAAAATCATGAAAAACTGAACTGATGAATACTATAGTGATGAAGGGATTTTTAAATAGTCAGAATGTCCGCACAGAAAGCATCACATATCTGCCTTCACGCTGCAGACTGCTTTGAATTTTGCAGTCCAAGTCTTCGCTCAAAAATGCATAGTCTTCTATGGCCCATGCTTGATTTTAAACACATATTAGCATCTCTGAATTTAATTAAAAAAAACATTGTAGTATATGTCACTTCATTTTAAATTATTTTGCCTAGATACATTAATAGATGTTAAAGAGGCTCAAAATATAATCTTCAACACCATATAGTGTAATTGCCATAAAGGCCTAACTCTAAACCTAACTTTGTTTGCAAAACTACCACCTATAGTGCCAATATAGCACACTCAATCTCCGTTGTAAATAACTGGTTCCAAATGGCATCCAGTTCAGTGATACTGGAAGCAACTCAAAGATGTGGAATAACTGCCAGGTTCATTCCTGTCCTCCCCATATATATTACCAATTGGTACCAGAAGACAAACTGAGACAATAAAGCTTAACAAAATGAATAGTAATTATTGTGTAGTGGGCTTCAGTAGGCAAGAAGCAGATCAGCATAGCTACAACAGCATTTACTAACTCAAACTAGAACTGAGGAACAGCAGGCAAATGGCCTTAACTAATCATAATACTTGAAAAAGCCCACCCAAATATGAATGTTCTAAGTTTCCCTCCAAAACAGTTGGAGTTAACAGTTAGGGTCATCTAAAGGTTAGTTTCACTTTAGCAGGGCTTAACACAACTATATATATTCAATACATAACAGTAATAATGATTAGGTATGAATGCGAATTTGAAGGAGAAAAGAAATTGAGAGTATGTATGGACATATACATAGTGACATCTCCTTGAACTAAATTAAACATTTTGTATAATTGTGCAGAACCAAGAAGAAATGCTGTTTTTCTTAAATGATTTTCAAGAGAACTATAAGAGCAGATTCACTTTCCCCTCTTTTTAATCCAGATCACCGAACAGATCTAATAATGTTTGCTTCCTTAATGTCTGGAAATGAATCAATCCAATATTTCACTCTTAACTCACCAGCCACTTGCCTATTGTATAGTGCTGTAACACAAGGAGGACAAGGGATATGGAAACAAGCAGTTTATTAATTGTTCTATTGTAAAGTATTACAACTTTTTACCGTAAAGGAAGAGTGAGCTTTACCATAAACTGCCCAAACCAATTAAGTGGTGGCAAGCCCAATGATGCCTCATGCTTAAAGTCAAAAATTCAAACACTCCTTTATTCTTTCACTGAGGAACCAAGGCTTGATTCTAAACAGGAAGAAAGTAGAAGGGGAAAGAGGATAATACCTCTACTATGTAGGATTTTCCAAAGCAAACCTATACGTTTTCTTCCATTCTCATCCATCAATGAGGGGTGAATATTTTAAATAAACTTAGAGTCTCCCTTTATAATAATTTCATGGACTGTCTACTTGGCAACAGGAGAGGAGAAGTTGGCCCTTGCCATCTTCCAGGGTGATTTTCAACTTCCCAGAATAGCTTTCAGGACTGAAATTGTCTGGAGACCTCCTACTTGGGGACTAATCCGGATGGCCCTGGTTAGCTTCCATGCCCAGGGCTTTCACTGCTGATACAATGAATATATAAAACTAGCTGATACCCATGCTTTGCGATGAATCAATGTGATTGGGCTATGCAGGAGAAATTTGGTTCACAATCCATTGCCTCAGTGGTGGTCCATGATTGAAACACATAAGGGTTTCCTTTCTTTTCCTTTCCTTCTTTCCTCCTTTCCTTTCCTTCTTTCCTCCTTTTCCTTCCCTTCCTCCTTTTCTATCTATCTTATCTATCTATCTATCTATCTATCTATCTATCTATCTATCTATCTAT